AGGAGCAGGAGCAGGAGCAGGAGCAGTGGCAGTGGCAGTAGCAGTAGCAGTAGCAGTAGCAGTAGCAGTAGCAGTAGCAGCAGAAGCCCTATAGTTGTCGCGGTCTTAGCGGTAATGGTGGTCGTAGTGGTGGTGGGCTTTTCGTCGGCGTAGTAGCCGCAGCACAGCAATGGTAATAGATGCCCGGAGTCCGTTTCCGCTGATAGATTTAGCTGTTCCTTTTCGATCTGCGTGAGTCTGGGTTGGGCACAAGGGACGTGAGCGAGTTCTTGTGTACATTTGTGCTGGGTCATCCCATGCATCATGCTGTTTGCAAGAATCTAACTATATCTAACTACTTGTCTCTCCGTGCCTGTGTGTCTCTGTGGGTGTCTATGCTGCTTCTATATGTTTGTATGATGTATGTTCGTGTGTCCGTACGTCTGTATGCATGTACTTGTGCATGCCTGCTTGCATGTGGTTTGATATGGATGTGTGCATGTCTGTTTGTATGCATGGCTGTGTGTGTTTGTGTGAGTGCATGTGCGTATGTTCGTCTGCACGCATGCATGTGTGTATGCATGCGCGCATGAACGCCTGTACGTACTGTACGCGTGCACATGTGTGTGCGCATTCATACACATACACATAAGCGTGTTATACTGATACGTATAGAGGCCTGTACGCTGGCCAAAGTAGCCATCAATCAGGGTAGCAGCCATGATGTCTTGGCTATGGGTTTGAATTGCAATGATTGCAATGTTTATCACCTGACCTTTTCAAGTTCTTCAACATGACCATCGCTGCCGTGACCATGTCCTATAAAGACTCTACCTACCAAGTGGACTGCAGCCGCAATTGAAATCATCAAAACCACCGTAGTGATATCCATAGTCGTACCAAGCAAGTTGACCCGCAGTTGTCATACATACCTAGTGGCAGCAGCACTATCGTCACCACCACCGCCATGCATGTGTTTGCTCATAGTGTTTCCATCAATGACGCCACGAAGACCACGATGACGACGGCACGACCTGTGCAACGAACTACTATCCTGGTCTGCTGCTCCTGCTGCCGGACCAACATCCAGTCGCAACAGTTCTGTCGAAGAACATGTAAAGCAAGGATTTCGATCTCGTGACTCTTCCTGGCCCCAACCCATGTCATGGTCAGGTTTCAATCATTTTCTCGCCCGTGTCTCAGCAGTTGCGGCCGGATTTCGATAGTTGAGTGTTCATAATTATTTGTTGATTGTTCTGACAGTATATATTGCGGTTTCGAGTCTTGTCTGGCAGTTTGCTGGAAGAGTTGTCGAAGTCATGGGACCATCGCATGTGAGAAGCATCGAAGGTGCGTGTGGCCTTAAAGAAAGGGCGCCTTTACACCTTGACGTCGCAGGCCGGATGCGTGACGGTCTCCAAACCTCACTCGTGGGGGAGGGTTTCAGTTTAAGAACCCAGCTTGCAACTGCTGCATCGAACGACACCCCAGAGGCCCACAAGGGCACGTTGTGCAGGCATGCTGCACTGCTGTAGGTTTATCAGCGGCTTAGTCCTGCATTCCTGAGCAGAGGAACCACATGGGTCCACACTTACGTGTGACGGGCAGGTTTGGGTGCCACAGTCACTACCGTTCGGAGATTTTCCGTTTTTTGACTGGCTCACATGCCTTTCTCCATGCAAGAATCAAAGGCGTACTGTGCCGCTCAGGCTCCGGAGGATCTATGGAAGAAGCTTGAGGATGCCACTCGGGAATCTTTCGACAGCTTCAGGCAGTCGCGCATTCAGGTTTTCTGGCATCGTGCTCTGCCCATTCACTATCCCCTGGTAGAGCCAGAATCAGTGCACGGACGTTTGGCACAGATATCTGGCAAGCATCGGTCCGTCACTGTCCCAAGTAAAGAGCGTAGGCATCCCAGGCTTTGGCACAAGATCCCCCGCACAACTGCGGCCAACACGTGCTTGCAGGCTGACGGGATGACCTGAGACATGCGTGACTGGCAATGCAAGCTGGACTCCAAATCCGATGTCGTGTGCATCTAAATTGCTGAAGCAGAAATCCTGTAAACGTGAATCTCGAGGTAGTGCAGAATCCGTCCTCCGCAGGCCGCCTCATCGGAATGGAGGTATCTGTCTCGAGCATCTAAGTATCTCAACCTCAATGGAGATTACATTGCACCAGCGTGTGGCAGTGTGCAAGAGAGAAGCTGATGCCCTACCCATCCCTACCCTATTGCCCTATTGCTGCTTGCAAGATATCCAGAAAACAAGCTCCCACGATTTTCCACTGAGCCTTGATGGCTTGGAGGTGCAAGTTTCCGAGTTGCAAGCGCTCGAAAAGATGTTGCGCACCGTCTTCTGCAGAGGGAATCCGGAATGCTTCTTAAGAGGTACGGAGATAAGAATCTGAAGCAACTCCCAAAGCATGTGTTGCCGTTAGCAATCCCCACTGTCATAAATACCGAAATACCCGTCTTGCAGATCTCCGTCAGAACAGCCCCACCAAGATCGCACACCGTCGTAAGAGTGGCCATTGGAGCTGTCACTCTCAGTTGCCCTTCAACAAGATGCCTAGTCAGTACCTGCGGCTGGCTACAACCTGTTTCCGCAGTATTTCGCAGGCGGTCCCCAGACCTCGCCTTCAAGAGGGAGCCTTCAAAAGTCACGGGGCACATCGCGTGTTGCATTCCTGACCCTGCAGGCCTCACCTTATGAGGAGGGCACCGCGCTCACCGAAGCGCTGCGAAGAAGCCCGCTAGGCAGAGATGGTGCCTTTTTGGAGCCGCTGCAGGGTTTTTCACAGATCTTGTAAAGGCATGTCGATTTAGAGCTGTGCAAGCAGGCCTTGTGCAAAAAACTGAAAGTAAGTCTACCAGCCCTCACCATGTTTCATATTAGCATGTTGCTACACACTCCGGCTGTCATGGCCCCTGTTTGCCTGGAAAAAGCACAGCCTGCATTTCTATTCTATTTTCTCTCCCCACTCTCCCACTCATACATCCACCGACACACACACACATAGATAAACACACATATCGCTTGTTTACGAGTGGCTCGACATCAATATTTTCAGCACTACTTGTCCCTTTCGCGTTTCGTTTCTGTTGTGCGATATGCGGAATTTGAATACCCTGTGGGACAGCGAGTGGCACCCGGCGAACAGACCCTTCAATGCGGCTGTGAAGCGAATTGTTACAGTTTCGCCGACACGTACGACAGAAGCACCAGCCATGTCACCGTGTGCCAGCTTCCGTGTGCTGTGAAATGCTCGGCTTCTCGGCAAGAGGGCGCAAGCGATGCGAGCACACCGCATAATGTTTAGCTTGGTGTTGTAATTGACAATCATATCTGAAGACAGTGGTGCTGCAACATAATCCCTGACGCACTCGAGAAGGCGACTCCTACGAGTTCTTGAAGCTCTCAGGTCGTCGTATTTGGGGCGAAAGCCAACGGGCGCACGAGTGTTCCGGTTTGCCGGCTGCTGCTTCTTGGTTCCCGTGCGCCGTCCTTCAGCTTCCTGCTGGAATGCTACGCTGCTACGCATGGTACGGTGCGTCGGCGGGCCTCCTGTCTCGGCTCCGTGCTTTTGTTCATGTCGGGGCCAAGGTCCCTTGAAGCTTGAAACATGTTCCGAGATGGGGCAGCGGCAAGAAGACCATTGGCCCCAGTCCCGAACCCAACAATCGACACGACAGGAGCATGGAAGGCCAGAACAATCGGAATGCCGTCTTGAAAACTGCAACAACCGGCAAACCGTCCGACACCACCTTAGACACGCCGGTCACAGTGAACGATCAAACCCCACAACAAGCACTGGGTTTTGAGTTGTTCCAATTTTCAATTCAAGTGCCACTCTCTGGTGAACTCTAGTGCAAAAGGGGGTATAGTTTGCAAGTCACATTACAGCGACTGCCTCAGCAGGCGCATCTCAGGTCTCCCCATGGGCCGAGGAAAACTACAATAGATTAGATCTTCAACACTTGACGGGCGCTGGCACCCGGCTATCGCTACGAAATGCTCCGAACTCCGGCCGAAAGCTCTGAGTCGCTTTGCGTTTCAGGCCACAGACTGGGTGCACTCTGCAAGCTTCGCCAGGCCTGGATGGCTGATGATTCATTCGGAGCATAAGTAGGATTTTCAGGACATCGGGGCTTTGAACTGGCCAAAATCCTGGTTAGTCGCTATGCTCGTCTACGTTGAGTCTTGTTCGAGTTGATGTTGTCACGGGCGTCGGTCAGCACGGAACGCGTCAATTGTTGACATGATCCGCGAGTTAGCAGACGAAGACTTAAAGGTTGCTTGCACACTGAGTATCAGCATGGCCCGATCAAGTCCGAGAACTGCGAAGACAGCTGATGATGTGCAGGCGCTGGCTTCAACCATTCAGGGTCCTGTGGAAGGGGCGCGGGACCAAAGACCGAAGAAGCAGGAGTTCAAGTTCGTTCCGGATCCTTCCACCTTGATACTGCGCTGATGTGAGTCGAGGTGTTGCGAAGTGGTGGGGCTGAACTGCTTGCCTCAGTCCTTAGTGCAGGCCTCAGAGGTTCTATCGTTGCTTCGTGATGTCGAAGAGTCCGTTTCTGGTTGACGCTTTCGCAGCACCTGCCGGGTCGAGCCCTCTGGGAGCGGCGCTTCGCCGAGGCTCCACCGAGTCCACAAGCGCCTGCCGGGTCGAGGCGACAGTCAGATTCTGCCCGCCCCTGTCGAAGCCACGAGATTGTTGGGTACACAACAAATTCGTGAAACTTTCCTTCGGACGACAAGCGATGCACACTTAGCATGACAATGAAGCGCAGCTAGAGGCCGCGTGGTGCTTGGTCCAGCTCAGCTGCGGCAGCTCCACGCAGACGAAGCAAGTTGTCCAGGTGGCCGCCTGGGAGCCTTGAGAGGTCGCGTGCACACTGGGGCTTTGTGCATGTTCCTGGTGTCCTTCTAACAGGCATCGCTGGCCTTCGGAATGACGTGCTTACAGGGCTCGTTCCGGCTGAGAGCATTTTATTTCAGGGACGAGAGATGTGCAGAGAGCAGAGCAGAGAGAGCGAGACAGAGAGCCAGGCCGGTGCCACTCAGGCCGCTCTGGGCACGCTGCGTGCCGCGCGGAGTGCCGCGCCCATCGCAGAAAGGCGGCGGGCTCGATGCATCGATGATTTGACTCATTGATTTATTCAAGCACGGGACGACAGGTGAAATCTGGACACTACTTGACCATGGGGCAGACGACAGACGACAACCACACGTCACCTAATCTAACTGAATCAACCTCTGATGGCCGCATGCCACAGCCAGTCGGTGCGTGACTGCACGACACAACCAGTTTGTGCATGCCGCAATGCTGCAACATGCTGCAACAAGTTTCTTGATGAGTACAAACTTATTCGTCTTAATATCATCTTTTCTTAGAGTCCGCACAGGGTGCACACGCCAACAGACAGATCAGTTATGTTACTCGGCCCGGACACATTCGGACAAGTTGCCAGCGCTGTACTCGTATTGCAAGCAGAGAGGGGCAGCCATATGGCCGAAAGAAAGCGTCGAAGCTCCATGCAGCAGGTATCTCAATTAGATTTCAGGGGTCATACGGCGTCTGTGTATGTGCGTCTAAACTTGACCAAAACTTGCACTGAACCATATTGAATCTTGCCTTACGATTGTGAATGTCGAGGCAGATCGTGAATTCCAACAGCTGAATTTCGGCTAATGTTCCTATCGAACGACCAGTCATATCTGTTGTTGTCCAAAATGCACGCTTGTTGAAGCTAGTGTAACCATACCCCAGACGCTCCAAACCACCCCTTCCCAATGCCCCCCCCATTTGTCTGGTTTATTCTGCGCGGATTCTGTAACTCGCAGTTGCTCGCCTCTGAACCCAGCTTTGCGCACACCATGTGCGAGGGACTCTGTCAGTTGCTATGGCTATGAGCCTTGAACACCTCGTCAAAGCAGACTCCGACGCCTGGTGCTGTGTTGTCCTGGACCTTGAGATTTGGACGTCAGGGGTTTCGGAGTTTCGTACGATGCTTGCAAGATCTAAGATCGAGTATCGCCACAACAACCCTTTCTCCGCATCGCTTTAGTGAAAAGCGGGCGAGTCCGGTTCCGTTTCTGCACCTTGGGCTTCCAGTTCGGAGCTATGCGACTGCTGCCTGCAGCTTCTGGCAAATGTGCGGCTCCTGGACAGGCTGTTGTATCACACAAAAAACCCTGACCCCTAAACTTGTGTGGTCTTGTACTCCAACAGGCGCAGTTTACGGCCTTCGCTTGTGCTCAGCTTGGCAGGAATTGCGTGATTGTCCATAGCCGCATGGGATCTTTGCACCGTCAAGGTTTTTTCGAACAACGCTCCGCTAAACGTGTCAGTGTGTGGGCTTCGGCTGTCCGGGGTTACTAGCAGGAGCAGCACTTGTCGGGGCAGTTCACACTGCAGCATCAGTGGTCGTGCCTGTATCCTGATGCACGTGATGTAGATGCATTGACACCCCTTGGTGTATGCATGCACTCATGATCATGCATGCATGCGTAAGGATGTGTGCATGCAGCTATGCATGTACACACCTTTTGTGTGTGTGTGTGTATGTAAATGTGTATGTATGCATGTATACACAGACAGAGGGGGATGAGCACACACTGTGGCCCTGGATCTGCGCCCTTGTATTATGCATGTGTATACATACAGATATACAAACTAATCAATGCTAGACGTGCGGGGTGTGACATACACACACACACACGCACATGCTTGACATGTGTAATCATGTGTTAGTGTCAAAGCGGTCTCAAAGCGTGGCATCACAAATCGATATCTTCGCGTTGACCCGATCCCACGATCTGACAATATCTGACGCTTTCCGGATAGTGGTGCTACAGTTCTGGAATGAGACGATCAGACGACTTGCAGCTTTCCTGATTTCGACAATGTTAAGGCTTCCTTGTGCGCGCGGTTCGTGCGGGGTCTGGGCTTGAGGATTTCAGGGTAAGGGTTTCGCACGTGTCGTGCTGGGGTTCCAGTGGCAAGCGACAGAGGGTGCAAGCAGGTTCTGGATCTCGGGCGGCGTTTCGTGCTGGGTTTGTACGAGCTGTATCGGTGCAATGAGCCGTCCCTGCAAGCATTTCAATTGGTGCTGCAGCGACATATCGGCAGAAAGCCCAAAGACATGCTCGACTACCTCAAACGGCGTATGTGCACGAATGGGTATGTCGACACAACTTCACACTATGCCTGTCAATTACGAAGTATTGAATTGAAGCTTGTCATCCAAACTGTAATTTGTTGCTCGAGCCTTCGCTGTGATCCGCCATGATCCAAAAGTTTTCTTTCGATGCAAACCTGTGTGGCATCGTGGATGCATCCCCGACCAGCGCAAAGTTAGGCTTGCGATGTCGTGATGATCCCGGCTTTCATACCCGATACGATCCTGATAGAGCTTTATGGAGTTTGTGGGCATTTAGGCAACGACAGCTGGTAGTACTGAATGCAACTGAGCACTGAACTTTTCGTAAACAATCACGCATAGTTCTGGCTTGTACAGTTACATGCAGGGGCTTGCAATAACGGAAGGGGGGTCACCTGTGTCTTTTTTTTGGGGTTCACTTGTGTCTTTTTTTTGGGGGTCGCTTGTGTCTTTTCTGCTGGTTCGGAAGCAACAGTCTCGAACGAAAGGCCCCCCGGGGGGGCCTCTCTTCCAGCCACCCGCGGCTTGGAACAAACCTGCGGGAAGTAACGAAGTAAAGAAACACACCATGAATGAATGAATGAATGAATGAATGAAT